AGGAATTAGCCCAACAGGAATCGTTTTGCTTCAAGTGGCTTGAAAATATAGCGACGGTCAGTCTTATATTATTTATTGTCGAGATCAACTTGTTTTTATGCGATATGGAGATAGCTGTGAAAAGTGCACGGGGAACGTATGCGTTCTATTATAAGATTCAAGTACATATAAATACATGACAGACATGACAGCAGACGCCATGATATCTTAAAAACCGTTTACCATTTGAACCACCTGTGGTTACTACATTCACTGGTATCAATACTCAATGTACCAGAACTGTTAGCTTGCGCTTGCTACCTAGGGATGCATGATGGATCAAGACTTTCACAATGATCTTGCTTTTTTATGGTTCATGATAAATACAATGCTGCCAATCACAAATATTTTGCGACGGTCCCGACATTTCTCATAAGTTACAATCACAATGGCTCATAAGAGAACATCCTTAACTCTCGTTTACGTCAGGATAACGGTGACGTGTTTACATTGGACACTGTATGTAGTAGCCACTTACATATGAGCGATAGGGAACCTGTAGTTTTGACTGGTGTGTATAATGTTACACGAGCTGCTAGAACTAGAACAGATAATTGGATTAAAGACAACATAGCAAAGTTAAACCACCGTAAAAATATGACGAATACGGACACAGTTTCATGGCCAACAACAAAAATACAGAGAAAATCAATATATTAATATATTGATTGATTCTGATATCAGAATAATGAAAAAAGCTTACAGAAGGGTATCAATCCTCGAAGAAAGCGTAGCCACTTCTGTTTCTTTTGTTGTCAAGTGGTTACTTATATTCTCAATCTTTGACTGGAGCTCATGGTTTATATTGTTCGAGTTTTTTATCCTAAATTTTGATGCAACTGGTATATTTTTTCCCACTTTTCTATGAGCTGTTCAATTTCTTCTCGATAAAGTGAATTCTCCAATCTAACTCTTTCGAAGTTTGCTTGGATCTTCAAGAAATTTTCCTCTCTCTCTTTCATTTCAGACAAATTTTTGGACAATTCCAAAACTTTTCCTTCCATAGACTTGAACTCGGAGAGGATAAGATAACTAACACCGCAGTATTGACAAACAGTCTCCATCCTGTCCAAAGCCAAGAGTTCATCCGGCAGAGGAAAACGAGGCCTGTAAGATATATCAATATTTTCCTGATGAAGGTCCATCTGCATTCGGCGACCTTGAACAACAAGAATACCAAAATGCCGCTGATGTTCCGATTACACATGTTGGAAAGAAAAACAAAGCATATGAAGTTTCGTACTGGACAAGACGACGAGGCCATGTCTTGGGCTCCATTGTCAGAATTGGTATTTGAGAAAATTTATAGGCATTAATCCACGTCAGACGCTTGAGGTACGACACGGAGAGAAACCAGTGTCAAATACGTGTCCGGAAAAACGGAATATAAGCTCTAAAGGGATTCCCACAGATGAAGGAAAGTAGAAGTGCAGCTGATTCCTTTAGTAAATCGAGGATCATTTCTAACCAAAATTTGACGCCTAGAACACTAACAGAGCACAGTTTTTTTTAACAGAGTACCGGTGTTGGAAAATTCACATGGTCGAGTATCCTGACGGTGCCTTGCGCGTTGATTAGTTTTAAGTGATCGTAGATTTGTGCTTCAGCTACCGCACTCGCTTCTTTCAGAAGCTGAGCACATTTCACAATTTTTAAAGCCACCTCTATGAGTGAAAGCGAATTTATTACCCCAAGCATATATTTTGCTATAGTCACTGTTCGTCAGAATCGTTGACGCTAAATTGGCCGAAATCGCCTTGCCCCGATGCTGTACTGCCGAAAGCCACGCCTGGTTTGAAGCCGGTTGTTTACCAGCCGACTGGAATTCTGCATGGGTCATACCACTATAAAACGTAGGAGAAAAGTCACTGAGAACAATCACCTATCAATCAGCCTTTCTTCAATCTGCCACCAATTTATGGAAAAGGTAACATAGGCAGTGCTCATGTGCTTCTTAGATCAGAATAGCCCCTATCTAATGAATAGGATGGATTTCGTAGAGACAGGTCTTGCATGACGAACTTGCTTTTTTGCGGCAACGTAGTCCGTATTGTCCCACACCAAAGACTTCTGCAAACCTCAGGGAAACGGGTGTTAGGGGAAATCACTGGAAGTGAATTCAGTGCTGCCCATATGGGGGCAAGCAGTTGGTGGAGGTTGTGGTTGAGAGTGGTGTTCCTCAATGGTCTGTTCTTGACCCTACTCTGTTCATTATATACGTCAGCGACCGCGTCAGTGAACTGGATTGTAGTGTCACTATTTCTGCCGATGGTATTGGGCTTTTGAGGGTAATCCGAACTGCAGCTGATGAAGATTATTTGCAGGCGAACCTTAATCGATCCCTATAATGTTCGGAGGACTAAACTTAGTCATTCAACGAAAACAAATGGAATATTATACGAGTCGGTTGATCCAGCTCTCAGAACCTCTTGGTTTAGTACCTGAATGATAAAGCACTGCAGTAAGTGGACCTACAAAAGGACATGAGAACGTACGTCATGATCTCGTTTAAATCCCAGATGCACTGCCAAAAATCTACGATGTCATTCCTGTAGCATGTCAAGTGGGCTTTCTATAGCTTTGATGAAGACCGCTTCGATAGAGTCTTTCGAACTTTTGTGCAAGCGCAACTGGAGTTCACTATCCAACCTTGGAGACCCTGGACTACGAAAGACCACCATCGCCAAGAAAATTAAAAGATATGCAACCAAACATGATCCCGGACAGGGCCTTTTAACCTACGAAACACGCTTGTCTGATGTTAATCTATTGCTTTGAGTTACAGGC